GTCTCGGTATGACCGGAGACTGCTTCTCTCTGAGGGAGTTCTCAGGTATGACCGGAAGCGGAAGCGGATAAGGCTCCCTCTGAGGAGTGTCTCAAGGTGCGACTGGGACCTGTTGGAATGCTAAACAGTTAATCTCCTCTGGGAGGACATAGTAACTAGGTGTCCTGGGGCTATGGGGCGGATATGTGAAGGCACAGCATTTGCTGGAACATAATGGGATATGTTAAAGGAAAAAGGCTTTGAGGCCCAGACCCCAAACGGATGCTAATTTGATTGACAGCAGTAAAGCAGTTTCACTTCTTTTCTAATTTCTTAATAAAAGCCATGCGCTGACCCGATTCGGGGCTCGCTCAGATTCTCTGAATGAGTCCCTTGGGCTCGCTCAGTTTCTCTGACTGAGTCCCTTGGTCTCGCTCTTAATCCTACTTTTGTCTCTGACTCTTTATTCAATCTACGCCGCCCCTCAAGAGAAACCCGTTTGCCCTTGCCACGCTGGACGTGACATCGGCCCACCCGATCTTTCTAACATCTGTACCAGCAGAGCTGGAGAAAAACAACTGGATCCATCACAAACCTATAAATTCCAACCACAGGCCTCAACGCAGGCCAGAACTGGTAAAGCTTAATCATGCTGGTGTGAGAAATAAAACTTATAGGACGGTGTGTCTTCTGCTTGTCCTCGACTATATAAGACACCGTTCTCCTTAAAGGCATCCCCTCACTTCGCTACCCTCTGTGCTCACAGCCCCCCGGCCACTCTGGAGCTCGCATCACACTTTGTCTTAAAAGGGGTACACAGCTCAGGAAAGGGGGGTGAGTGAACTGGGCAAGGGTTTACAGTGTTTGAAGGTTTTTTAAATGTACGTGGCTCTACATTTATCTCCCAACTAAATGCAAAACCCACCCCAGAACCAGGTCTGTTTTTCTGCAGCAAACTGCAGACATATGTGCCTCGCCTACCAGACAAAGACCTTTACCCTCGAAAGCACCCAGTGCAGTGTCCACAGCACAGCCTGCTATTACATAAGACAACGCAGGACTCACCAAGGGCGGGTCGAGATAGCTGTGTGTTGCTGACCAGGTCTGGGGGGCAACCAGGCTGTACAGAGGGAAGTGCTGCTGAGGGCTGTAGACGGGAGGTAAGTAAAAGGACGCCGTGTAGCGGTGCTGTGTGTAAAGGCTCATGTCCAGGGGCCTAAATCCATTCTTTGGCAGAAATGTGTTTATAGCTATTGCCTTTGCTTTTATCCGTGCCTGTGTGGAAATATACAATGTGTCTGTTAGAACACTTTAGAATACTGCCTTGCAAATAAAGTATACCAATGGTCTTGCTTACCTTAATTGGTTTTCCTTGAAAAGTTTTTACTTCTTCTCGCAGATATTTGTAAGCCTGAGGGCAAAATCATCCAAAATACCATTGTGTTAATCTTATAAATAAGATAAACTGACAGTTACTACCTCAAATAAGGAATTATATAGTTAAAATACAACGATTCCTAACCTGGACCCGATTCCTTAAAGAAACCTGGTAAGAGCTAAGGAACCTCTACCCAGAATTGTCATAGACAACATGTGTATATACATTTTGTAAGTACTGACAACACCATGAAAGCCTTCCTGACACCACAGGCTAAGAATCCTGACCTAGGCGTCCCTAGGAATAATCCCAATTGGAAACTGGGATTACAATTTGGGAGAGGAAGAGATTAGGATCACAACAGTCAAAAGTCCTTATTCTTCCCCAAATCCTGCCCTGTAACAATGAAGGCTCTGAGCCACCTGTTACCTGCTCCTCTCAGCTCTCCCCCGTCCCCACTTACATCCAATTAAAGTCCATCTTTTAGATTCTCGTTTCTCTCTTTTGAACACACCATAGGCTTCATTAAGCATGCTACTGTTTCCCCAGGAAGTCTGTCTTCCTTTAAGGGCAGGGGACTATCCTAACTCCTGTGTCTCCTCCCAGAGTCTTGGTGCCCTTTCAAGTAGCTTATAACATGCATGATGCCAAGTGAACGATGATAAGGTCAGGTTCAAATTTCGCAAAACACTCGCCAAATAGTAAAACCTTTCTCTGCCCAGATACAAGAATAGAACTAATTTCCCTAGGCTGCTTGTCTTACACGTCCTTAGAAAATACTGTCACAAGCTTTTCATACTGCTACAAAAACTGTCTACACAAACACACTACTTAAGTTTGTAACACTTGATTTCCTCTGCAGTTTACACTCAAATGTAACTCCTCCAAGTGATAGTAATCTCAATGCCCAAATTTAGTCCCACTATGTGCTGTTAAGTACTGGTAAACTCTGTACTTCTTGGGAGGGGTGCTTACCTGTTGTGCATCAGCTTCTGTTTCAAATGTAATAAACCAATTATCATTATAGGCAAATTCACAGTTTATAAATTTCGGTAAATTATCTCCTTTAAATAGTGCTTCTACTTCCTACAGAAAATAGAAAGGTTAGAAATTAATTCACAACCATGCCACCTTCTGTCCTCACCAAACAAAATCAATGCATGCTCTCCAGGACAGGCGCCTAGATGCAGTCCAACACCCTGGTATCTAGTACATCTCTCCTTCAACACGGCTGATGAGGGTGTGGTTTCCAGAACTGGGGCCCCATTGCCACAATTTACTGACAGTTGTCTCTATTCCCCTGATACCATTAAATTAATATGAAAATATCATTTCATTTTATCAGTGGGCTGGGGAGAGGGGAGGTAATTTAAGAAATTTAAAAATTAGCTGGATTTTTGCTTTTGGCCAAGATTTATCCTTACACTTGAAACAATTAAAAACAAAAGACAAAAGACAGAGAATAATGGTTTCCAGACAGTGGACTCAGGCCATGTGACACAGGTGAGCTTGAGAGTATCCAGCTCATGCCTGCAATATCCCGGCCGCAGGGCCAGGGTGGGTGAGGAGAATCCAGTCCAGTCACTCCAGGGCCCTCAGGAGTCTCCCTTGGGCTCAGCAGGCAGCAAACAGTCACTTAAATGGTCAGAGGAAACAGCCTGGGGCTCACCGGGTGCCAGGGTCTTCCCACCGGCCAGGGTGGAAAATGCCCCTAAAGCACAGGACACAGGAGAGCACGCAGAGGGCACTGCCTCAGTCAGCATGGGACAGTCGGCTCCAAAGGGCAGCTCTGTTCCCACCGAACAAACACCCCTAAGACAAAACTGCTCCCAAGTCAGTTAGCTGAACCTCAGAACAAAGCTCAAGAATATTCACAGCAGGGCTGGCCGAGTGGCGCATTGGTTAAGAGCTGGCTTGGGACGCCAGAGAGCCCCAGTTCGGATCCCACATGAGGGCCAGTGACACTGCCCCCTACAGCTAAGATGCTGAACAACAACAGCTCGACCTGGAGCTGGGCTGCCGTAAGTCGCCAGTGACGGCGTAGACTGCAGCCCCTGCTGCAGTGGGTTGCCATGGGCTACTGTGTGTGGCTGGCAGCCAGCGTAAGCGGCCAGCAGCTGCCGTGGGCAGCCATCCAGAAGCTGGCGACTGATATGCCTCGCCCGGAAAGAGCGCAATGATGGTGCCAACTTGGGCCAGTGAAGCAACATCCTCCACAACTAGACTGAAGGACAAAAAAGGACAGCAACTTGTCTGTTCCCCTTCCCCCAATTCCCCAGCGCTGTTCCCATCCCCCAATTCCCCAATAAAAATCTTAAAAAAAAAAAAAAGAATATTCACAGCAAAGAACACAAAACATTCAGCACCCAATAAAGTCCAAAATGCCTGGCATCCATCCAAAGTTTACCAGACACATTAAAAAAAAAAGGAAAAGAAAAATATGACCTATAATGGAAAAAATCAATCAAAATTAGACCCAGAAATGACAGAATTAGTAGAAAAGAACATTAAAATAGTTATTGGATATATATCCTATATTCAAAAACGTAAAGGCTGAGCATGTTAAATAGAAACAGAGAAGATTAAAATAAAAAAAAATAAAGATCCAAATTGAACTTCTGGAGATGAAAAATACAACGTCTGAAATGAGAAATACACTAAATAGGATCAACAGCTAGTTAGAAACCTACAGAAGGAAAGAAGGGAGAAGAGAAAAAAAATAAAGAAGAAAAACAAACTTAGAAGTAGTGCCTCAGTAAACTTCAAGTACAAGAAACTTGAAAGCAAATTTCCAGTTATAAACTGAATAAGTCACAGGATGTGATGTACAGCACAGGTAACAATCAGTAATTGTGGTGGCTTTGTACAGCGACAGAAGGTTACTACATTTGCTGGGTTACCTCGTAGGTACAGAGATGTCTAATCACTGTGTTGTATACCTGAAGCTAATGTAATACTGCACATCAGCTGTACTTTAATTATTAATAAAACAAGACCTTCCCAGAGGGAAAGCCAGGGTCTAGAGAGAGAGCAGAGTGGGAATGCCACCCGAGGGCAGGATCAAGGCCTAATGGATGAGCTGGCAGAGGCCCCACACCCTGCCAGGACCAGCCGCTCTCACAGTCCCTGCCCAGCAGGGTTTGGCCACTGCGATGGACCCATGCCACTGGGGGTCATTCAGCCTTCTTTCCAGCACTGCAGTTTTTCACGCAGTGTTATAGTTCCTACACCAAGGGTTTGGAGGGCAGACATAACTTATGCTTTAGTTTATCAGGTATAAAGCTCTGTCCCTACTGGATGGAGAGAACCAAGTGACACCAAGAGGTACAAATCTTGAGTTAGATGTAGCGATTCTATGAGGTTCTGAGGTTGTCTTTCTTGGAGATGAGGCTTTTCTATGTGTAGGAAAATGGGTGTTCATGGAGGATAGTTTAAATTAAGGAGTAGACTGTGACTAAAAAGAAACTTGTAAGCCACATCAAGATGCACTGAAATCAAACTGCTTAAAGCCAATGATAAAAACTTCAGAGCAGCAAGACATAGGGAAGCCTCGGGACATAGCAGGAGGGGACAAAGGAACCCACACAGGCTGCTCCTCAGAGACAGTGCACACCAGTACAGACTAGAGTGCCTTTCAAAGAAAGAAAGGAAAACTCCTGTCAATCCAGAATTCCATACTCAGTGAAAATATCTTCCATAAATGAAGGTGAAATCAAGATTTTCTCTAACATACAAAAGCTGAAGAAAGTCATTACCAGCAGACCTAATATTTAATAAGAACTATCAAAAGAAAATATTCAGGCAGAAATGATGCCAGACAGAAGTCGAGATCTAGACAAAGGGTGAAAAGCACTGTAGACAGTAAATATAAAATGCATTTTTCTTACTTTTAATCTCCTTAAAAGACAATTGACTTGTTTAAAGCAAATGTAACAAAATGTCATTAGGCTACGAAGAATTAAAACAGCACAAAGGTCAGATATGGAAAAATGATACCTATGAAAGGGGAAAAGTAGTAGTATTATATTAATTAAAGGCAGACTTTGATAAATTAAAGAAGTCAATTATAAACCCTAAAACAACCACTAAAGCAAAACAAAACAAAGAGTTATATCTAATGAACCAAAAAAGGAGATAAAAACATTTAATCCAAAGGTGGGGGACCAAAGATGAGCAAAGACAAATAGAAAACGAACAGCATTATTAATCACATGAACATAAATGGTCTACCCTCCCAAGTAAAAGGCAGAGATTTACAGACTGGATAAGAAAAGCAGTCCCAACTCTGCTGCTTACAGGAGCCCAGTTTAAATATAAAAACACAGAAGGCTTAAAAGTGAAAGGATGAAAAAAGACATGCAGTGCTAACATTGAGAAAAGAAAATTGGAGTTTATTAATACCAAACTAGATCCCAGAGCAAAAATATTACCAGGGAAAATAGGGTCATTTCATAAGACTATTAGCTAGTCACACTTCCCAAAGTATTAAAGGAATTAATCAACCAAATGAATTACAATTTAAAAATTTTCTAATCACTGACAAGCACTTGGTTACATTAAATAAGAAAGAATTTTCAGAATACTCCCAGCCTATATGGTCCGGAGCACCCGCAGAATGGCTCTCTACTATACAGTGTTCAGAAGCTTACTGTCCTTTTCTTATTCAGAGTGGACCACTTTCCCCCCCCCCCCCCGTCCTTTTTCAACTTTTAATTTATCATAGTGGTTCCGCTAAACCTCTTAAGACTTTCATCATTCAAGTTTTACAACATAGGTGTGCTATTTGGAGTAACAGAAATATACCAAGATCCATGTCTGCAGCTAAAAGTGGAAAACTTTTCTTTGTTTTAGTCTTTGCAAATATCTCAAGTCTTGAAACTTAGGACCTATGTTTTAAATACTACTGTGAATTAATAAAGACATCTAGATTAGTACAAAGATATATGTCGAGAACCTTAGTTAAGGTTCATATTGAGACCCTTAATTAAAAGACAAGGAAAAAAATACAATCCTGATTTCTTTTTCTTCACATATTATAATATAGAAGTTGTATAAACTGCCTAAGTTGAAGAGAAAGTAAAACTTTCTAGAACAAGGCCATACCCAAAGATGCAGTTTCTCAACCTCGGGACTGTTGGAATCTTTGTCTTTGTTACCCTCCACAAGAACTGTCTGTACCAAACCTGCACATATACTCACCTACTTCCTCCACAGAGCCGGCAATGAAAATATGCAGCACAAGACCTGTGGCTTAACTCATGGACAAATGAGAGCGACAAATGACCTTCCCAGGTTCTTTAAGAGTCTGCAGAGCACACAGACAGACCTCTGGCGTGCTCTGTAGGAAGACTTTTCTGCATTCTCTCAAGACACAAGCATCAGTGTGATGCGCTACACAATGCAACTCAGCTTGAACATTTGGACGAGTTAGAGTTTACAGCAATTCTCTACCAGCAGGTTACTTTTCACGACTCAAGCTACCAAGTACTGTGTTTTCCTAAAATTACTGCCTAAATTAGTAGTTCTCAGTTATGATCTCCAGGCTCTATTTACATAGGAAAAAATGTCTTTGCCTTTTTGGTGGCCACATTTGCACTGATGCTGGCCCACAAGCTACTGTGGCGTTCCTGGCACTTTTGTCATGAAAATACTTATTTTTAAAAGTTATGTTCTTTATCTTAACTCATGGGTTTATATTTTTTATTTCTAAGTGAATAAATATTTAAACCTTTTCTCACTTTAAATTTCTAAACACTGAAATTACCATAAACTATTTTCTTAATGTGAAGAGTCCTACGACCAAAAAGAGAATCACTCTTACAGATGAGATTAAGCACACTGTAACTATCGGAGTGTGTAAATCCTGTGAGGAAAGTGTTATTGTATGTACATATTCTTTAAAACACACAAAAGTTAACGTCAAAACAAACCAAAAAGCCCACCACAACAAAACGTCCAAGGAGCTTTCCGAGGAGACAGGACTTACTTCTACTGGCGTGGATTCTGGAATCTCGCGGAGTATCACTATGCAACGGTTTTGATTTGGCCTTACTTTTTCTCCTTTCTCATCCACTTGGACTAAAGGTAAAGCTACAGAGAGAAGAAAAATGAATGGTAAAACACAAACCAATCATTTAATTCTTTATGATAGATATAATATAGATACTCCAATGGGATGTTGTTATACTATGGAACTAAACACATTAAAGAAGCCTGTATACAATGGGTAAACTATCAAAGGTTTTAAGCTAATCTTGCATGTTCCATTTCTTAAAACTAAGGAACATGAGAATTTAAAAAGTCCTGTAAGTGCTTTAATAAATGTAACACTATGAAACAAAGATATAAACCACTCAAAGAACGAACAATTATGATTCAGGGTTAATGGCTTTTCCTTTCTACAAGTCCCTAACATAAAATAATGCTCTATCTTGTAGGACTTTTTATCTTGAATTCACAGAAGTGTTTTTAGATTAAGAAAGCCACTGGCCTTTACAAGTGGGTCAGGCAGAGCCAAACGCAGACACGTAACACAGGTTTCTGTCCTAAATGAACCCCAAACAAAGCAACATTGGGAAACACAATACTCTCAAGAAATAGTGGTCTAGTTTTCAGGATTCAAACTTCAAGGTTATGTTTGCCAGTGTCTTCATTATCTGCTGGAACAAGCTAATGGCCTTAAAACAGTTGCCTAGGAACAGAAAATAGAGGAGAACTTTTATCTGTGAACAGAAAACCCCACTACGTTTCTAAGGTAAGATGACCATCTTTTTCTATTACTGTTTAATCAAATACACACAAGACAAGATCTTCACTGACTGTCAGCAGTACAACTAAGCTGGCGGGAATCTGTAAACACTTTTTGCATAAGAGTCAGTGATGGGAAATCATAGCACTGACTTAGAGAAATGGGGCTTTAATTCGGGCACGGCGATGTCCTACCATTTAGAAACATTTAGATGGGTGGGTGGGGGCACATGTCACACTGTGTGCTTTATGAAAGACACCTGTGGGAGCTGATCAGTAGAGCAGTCCTGAGGAGGGGGACTAGAGAAGTAATTCACCGGTACTTATAAGCCTTATTATAAAAAAGCAAATTTTTATAATTAAAAACAATCACATTTTTAAAAATCCAACACATCGTACATTTAATATGAAATGAATCCCCACTGAAGCTATCCTGGGTGGGAGGGAAGGGACAGGAGTGTTGCAAAATGCATTAGGAAGCTCTGGGCAGTAGGGGACGTACGTCCTGTGACTTTGGCCGCAGTGAGTTTCACCGATGTACACCTATGTCCAAACTGATCCAACTGCACAGTTTATGCACAGCGCACTGTATGGCAATTATGCTCACTCAAGTAGATTTAAAATTAATTAATTTAAAAAATGGTGAGGGTGGAAAAGGCTCAATGTGCAAAGCACACTACACCTGTGACACAGCACGTCAACACTTCAAAGTGCCCACATTTCCTGAATCTCTGCAGGTGTCCAACCTTCCTTTGATGTTGCCAAATGTCCAAGAAACACCCTCACTCACAAAATCCTTTTAAAGAAAAACACAATTTCACCAAAACTTTAGCAAGAAGGTGACATTCTACTCTTACCCTCAATGCCATTATTTATTTTACTTTTCATCCATGTCACAGCTTCTTTCATCTCTCCACTGACCTTTTCCACTCCCTGGACCTACAAACAGGTATGGAGCCCATCAACGCCCATTGCCACGAGAGCACCACCAGACAGAAAGGCCCAGAGGCAGGGGACACTCCACTTGTCGTCAAGGACCTTAGCACCGAATGCCTATGGTCACAATAGCGAGAAAAATGCTGTGAGGGCCAGGTAAGAAGCAGCCCAGACTGCCGCTCACTTACATCTCAGCACTTCGACAATCAAGTCCAGGTCGGTGCTGAGCTTCTTGATGTGGTCCAGGTTAGCCACAGTGGTGATTGGCACGTACTGATCACTGTCCATCTGCGATATAAGGTACATGTCACTAGCAAGGTTCTCCCTGCAGAAAAAAGACAATCTCCCTTAATGAATAAATACTTCTTTAAAAGGAAGCCTCGCACGGGTCCAAGTGTGGCATGATAGTGCTTCAGTTAGGTCTGAGTTCCAACCCCTGTTATTTGCCATTTCTCTGGCCTTAGGTACAGTTTTTTTCAAAGACACTTGGGGACACAGAGAGAGCAAAAGTAAAAGTATATATACTGTACTTTATACAATCAAAATTAATCAGCAAGTCTTTAAAACATGTATTTATAGCTTATCTTTATAATAAAAAGTGTTTTAATTAAGTAGCTTATAAAAACACAAACAACTTTTTAAAGTAAGGAAATCCAGCTGACAGAACAAGGAAGAGAAATATGAAAAGGCCAGGAAAGGTCAATGCTCAAAATGCTCTCTGTTTAGTCTGGAACACTGGTCAGAGAAGCGGCAGGCCCAACCCTGGCTGCCTAGCACTTTCTAGCAGCCAGGATTAAAAAGAAGGAAGCCTGATCACAACATGGCACTGTGGGTAACAAGGCAAGCCACAAATAACCAGTAGTTTCAGCAAAGATGAGCTACTTCCTGGTATTTTGGCCTATGATGAACATTTCCAGGTGTTAAAGCAGGCCCAGTGCAAAGTCTGGAAAATCACAATAATTGATGGAAAATGTTACACATGCCGATCAGTTATCCTCTTACTCAAAAAAAATTACATTTAAGCCAATCCCATCTTCTTGTATACCCAGTTCTTCTATTTGAACTTTAAAGGTTCTACTCTGCTTTTCAATAGAAAAGGTATTATTCATGGGGTGGGGGACAAGTAAAAATATGAGGGCTACATCATTAAAACAACCTGCTTTTGAAGTGTTTGGCATACTTTGAGAACTAGCGTAGGAAACTTGTTCTCAAACTGTAGTGTGCTGAAAAATGTCTCTGGGAGATGGATGGCCTAAGGCCACGCCCTCAGAGTCTGATTCCCTGGGCAGGGGGTGGGGTCCAGGAATACAAATTTCAAAAAGCCACCCCGATAGCTGTCATCAAGGCAAATTTGTGGACAACTGTGGGCAACGTGGGTTACGTTCAGTTCTCCAACATGTCAAAGTTAATATTCTAGATCTCCTACTAATAGATGTATTAACAGATACACACTCCTACATTAAGTGTCACATCTGTACATAGTAACCAAGGCATACCACCACAGGTATTAGGTACCAGAAAAACCACTGCCATCCTTACCTGGATAAACAGAATTCCAATGTTTTTTTAAGTACTTCTCGGGGGTCTTCCTGGATTTCTGGCTGAGATTCATTTCCTCCTACATAAAAGTAATGATCAACTCAGGAAAAATGACTTAAAATTTACCAAGCAGATGATTCAGTACAGCAATTCTAACATTTTCAATACACATATCAATTCATCTAATGTATAGAGAATATAAGGAAAATGCTATTCTACCTCCTAAAAAAGAAAACCCCCTTTCCTCCAAACAAAAACAACACAGTTTCATAAAATAACCTGAGCATAAGATTCATTAGCGAAGTTCGGCAGGTGCTTTCTATCACATAAGTACAAGCTTATTTAATGCTTTGTCTCAATTCTAAATAGGATTTTCAGGTAGCCTATAAGAATACAAATAAAAGCAATAATAACATATAAAGGAAAGAATCGAAATAAGGAAAAGATAAATACAGGCCAAAAATCAAGGCTGGGGATAATAAACACACAGGCTGTAAGGGCTACACAGTGTCTACACTACAGCCTTATAAACGTGCCTTTAAAGTTCCAGGTAGTCGAAGTCACAAGAAATTGTGGAGTCACAGGGATGCTACTGAGAACACTAAATAAACAGATCCTCAAGAGCAAACTTCACAGGTGAGAAACCTAATAAGCCTACTTTAGCCAGGTGGTCAAGGTCAACATCAACTGATAAATCATGCTGATACTATGTACCCTAACAAGAAGGGATGAAAATGGCATTACCCTCTGTGGTCTTTCTGCCCAGAAACCCATAACACTGGAATTATAATGACAAAAACATCAAACAAATTCCAATAGAGGAGTACCGTGCAAAACCCCTGCCCAGCACTCCTCAAGACTGTCAAGATCATCAAAAACAAGGTAAGTTTGAGAAACTGTCAGAACCAAGAGGAGCCTAAGAAGACCTGACAACTAAATGTCATGTGGTGTCCTGGGACAGGTAACACATACCAATACTGGATCAGTAATGGTGGCAAATACAATTGTTAAGAACAGAAGAAACTGCATGCTGGTCTATAAGGACTCTCTGTACTCAATCTTTTACATTTTTCTGTGAGTCTAAAACTGTTCTAAAGCGAATAGCAAGATAGAGACTCAAACCTAAGCATAAGGATCACCACAGTAAATACTAATGTTCTAAACACCTGGATTAAAGGCACAGAGGGTAAGATTTGACTTTTCGTTAAAAAAAAGAGACTCAACTGTTACACAATCTATAAAAAATGTACTTTACTAAATATAAATATAAATGTACTTTATTAACTATTTTATCCGAAATGTTAAAAGTAAAAGGATGGAAAAAGATGTGCCCTGCTAATACTAGTCAAAAGAAAGCTGAGGTAACTATATTAATATCAGAGTAAATTCAGAGCAAAGAAAATTACCAGGACTAAAGAAGGTCGTTTCCTAATGACAGAGGAGTCAACTCATCAAGAGGCGATAGCAATCCTAAAACAGAGCTCCAAAATACATGAAGCAAAGCCTGAGAACTAGATAAATCCAAAAATTGATAGAATAAGTCTTTTAACGACAGACAGAACAACTAGGTAGAAACCAGAACTATAGGAGACTTGAACAACACTGTCACCCAGCTGGACCTGACTGACATTTACAGAAGGCCCCCATAACAGCAAAATACAGTTCTTCATAAGTGCAAAGGGAATTAATTACTAAGATGGCCCATACTTTGGGCCACAGTACATCTTAAATTCAAAGGGATTCAAGTCATACAAAGTATGTATGTCCTTTGACCACAACGAGATTAAATTAGAAATCAATAAAAGCAAGTTCCCTGGAAAATCCCAATATTTGGAAAGTAAATAACATAATTCTAAATTACCCATGGATAAAAAAAAAAAGTTAAGGAAATTAGAATTTTGAACTGAATTTAAAAAAAAATCACAATTCGTGAGATTGTGCTAAAGTAGTACTTAGGAGGAAATTTATAGAACTAAATGGCTATATTAGAAAACAAGAAATGCTTCCTATCAATGAGCTCAGCTTTCATCTTATAAGACATTAGAAAAAGAACACATTAAGCCCAAAATAACCAGAAGGAAGTATATTATAAAGATTAGAAGAAAACCAGTGAAACAGGAAGGAACAAAACAATTGAAGAAAATCAATGAAACCAAATGGTGGTTCTTTGAGGTCAATAAAATTGCCAAACCTCTACCAACTGATTAGCGGAAAAGAAAAGACACGAATTACCACAAACAGAAATGAATGATGTGACAGATTCTACAAATTAAAAGAATAAATAGAATATTATGAGCAACTCTATATAATCACTTTGACAATTTAGATGAACTGGACCAAATCTCTGGAAGACATGTAACCAAAGCTCCCTCAAGAAGAAACAGATAACCTGAGTAACCCTACATAAAAAGATAAGCTGTGGCTGAAGACTTTCCCACAAACAAAACTCTAGGCCCACGTGGCTTCACTTCTTAATTTAAGGAAGAAATAATAAACTCACCCAAAAATTGAACAGGAGGGAATAGCATAAAAAAAACCCCAAAAACTACAGACCAATCCTCATGAACAGGGATGCAAAAATTCTAAGCAAAACTTTGACCAATCTAATCCAACAATATATCAAAAGTGTATTACGTCATGACCCAGTGAGGCTTATCCCAGGAATGTAAGCTTGGTTAAACATTTGAAAAAAAATCAATCAATATAGTTCATCTTAACACACTAAAAAAGAAAAAATGGGGCCGGCCGAGTGGCGCGATGGTCAAGAACTCGCTTGGGATGCCAGAGGGCCCCGGTTCGGATCCCACATATGAGGGCCAGTGACACTGCCCTCTACAGCTAAGATGCTGAACAACAGCT